ACCGTTTGCTATGAAAATATATTTGAAAACATTTTATTTGACCCTGATATTCGTCGCTATTATATAAATAAGGTTTTTAGTGCTACAAATAATAAATATACTATGAACAAGCAACATGTATTTCTAAATGTAACCGATTCATATATCAGTAACCTAACCGACTACTTATTTAATAATTATTTTAGTGAATATTATCTGGTACATTCAAAAGCGTATAATTTTAATATAACAAAATTAATTGATATGTTAAATACCTATTTAAATGTCAATAATCAAGCTGAATTTAATTATAATGTTGGCAGAAATGATCGCGATTATTTAGCTACCACGTTTAAACAACTTAAAGTGTATTCGATGTTTCTAAGGTGTCAAACTAATTTTGTACCATGTCACACTATTAGAAAAAGTTTGCCTATTATATCACCTTTTGGAAAATGTCATACATATTTATCCGATCTAATTGGCAATACAAGTAATACAAACTACGAGGTAGCCGGTAACATTAGGTTTTCAGAGTTGATTGGATATGATAACCCTGTTAATAAAATTAATTTTTTAAAAAAGAAATTTATCCTACATCAACGTAATTCATTACCACTTTTATCGCACGATGTCATTGAATATAAAGACAATGTCAACGGCGTGTTTTTCGCCATAAAAACTAGCCAGTATCAATTTAGACGTTTGCCCAAACCATATGACACGCAATGTTACGAATATCCCGCAAACGACACCCAATTTCATTGCCTTAATAAATGCTATCAAACGATATATCACACAAAATATGGTTGTATTCCCAAAAATAATAGTTTATTCACCATTCAATTGTACGATGATCATTTAATATCTAATATTAAATTTTGTGACAACTCTAACGTTAATGACAATAACACTTTCAATGCAAATGTAAATATTTTGTGCATGCTAAAATGCCCTGTTCAGTGTACGGATAATATATTTTTAACCCAAGTTGTTAATTTGAAACGTCCCGAGATTATGGATGTTACGCGTCAAGATGACTATATATTTAGTTTGAATAATAATTTCTATGTTATCGTAAATTATATACCCAAGTACCTATTTATCGATCTAGTGTTAAGTGTGGTCAATATATTGAGCTTATGGCATGGTGTTAGTTTAATCGGTTTATTTAAATACGCGATTTTATTATTTAAAGTTAAATTCACTGTATTATTAAAACCAGTTATTGACTTTTTTACATTGCCCAATTTCAAAGTTTTTCTTAATGTAAGTAATTTTAGATGTTTAAACGATTTCTAGTATAAATCAATTTATGTTTAATTATTTACTATATTTAGCGTGGTATTTATGCATTATTAACTATGATACTTATCAACCAACTATACGAGATATCAGTGCATTATTTCAGTTTTGAGACCATTATTAAAATGGATGTTAACACATACTACCTGGACAAACAGTTTCCATTTGTTTCAATAGTATACGTAAAACAAATACCACAAAAGTCGTGCGATTGGAAAAACAGGGGCGAATTTTATTTTAATTTTTCACACGACAAATTCATAAGCAAGATCATTTTTAACAACGAAAATGAATTGTTTGGACACATTTACATTAGTGGCACGAAAAACATATCGTTAAATAGTGTAAACTATTTTAATAGTAATTTTATTCTAGCATGTCCTTTTTTATTTTTATTAAAAACAATTTACGTCAATGAACATATAATAATGAATTCATATAACACCATGATCAATCAATTTTTATTATTAAAACACGCAAACCATCATTATGTTTTGTACAGCATCATGCTACATTCGCAACCTTACATCGTTGGTATGGACAAAATGCTCCAGGCTCGCCTACATTACGGCGATTATAATCATACAATCGTCGTAAATAAGGTTGTAACAACACGATTAACATCACCACATGGTCACTGTAGTTATTACGGGGGTGAGAATAATATTATATTTCCCGTGAACTACAGGGTTGTCGGACAGCCTTTCGACTCCGTTTCATATGAACACTGTATGCGTCGGTGTATACGTTATTTATGGAAACTTAAACATAATTGCTATCCAATGTACATTGATTATATTCAACACGATTTAGATTATGAAACTAATGAGACCGAGACGTATTGTTTTTACGATTTTCATCACCCTGCTCATAAGAAATCTATTTACAATGTTAGAGTTAAATGTCAAAAATATTGTCCAATAGATTGCGTAGAAGTTGATTATAATATAAATGTTATTAGAGTTGATTCACTCATTGAAAACGAATTAAGCAACTAATTTTTTCACACATTTATTATCCAATTGATTCGGGCCTTTTGTGTGAATTCTACAACAGAAGGCGTTTATTAACAAAATTACAAACAATATTATTTATTTTTTCTTGAATTGAATTTTACTGTAAATGAATTTTACGTAAAATATTTTTGACACCGTAAATTACGCGTAAAATTACGTAATTTTACGCTGTAAATTACGCAAAATTACGCGCCATGCAACCTTACTATCCAATGTACATTAATTATATTCAACACGATTTAGATTATGAAACTAATGCGACGGAGATGTATTGTTTTTACGATTTTCATGACCCTGCTCATAAGAAATCTATTTACAATGTTAGAGTTAAATGTCAAAAATATTGTCCAATAGATTGCGTAGAAGTTGATTATAATATAAATGTTATTAGAGTTGATTCACTCATTGGAAACGAATTTTGGCATAATTTAAGTGTTGAACAAAAGACTTTTGAAAAATCATTTGTTTGGGACTCAACGCAACCCCTGTATGTCTATCGGGAGGAACCGGTTATGTCTCTAACAGACTATATGTCATATACTGGAGGATATTCAATTAATAGTTGCTCAATACGATCCAGTGACCAAGGTTGCATTTTCTGATATACTGGAGGACTGTTTGGTCTATGGTTTGGCACTAATGGCAAAGACATGATTATTTGGTTAATTAACAACCGATTTTGGATTTGGTTTTCAAATAAATTATATAATCTCTCACAAAATAATAGGGTTGAGAATTTACAATAATAAACTAACATTTAGAATACAGAATATTTGGACCTTTGTAATATATAAAAATAATATTTTCTATAACTAAACATTAAGTTGTTTTTCTTGGTTTGTATTTATCATAATATTTATCTGATTATATTCAAGCAAAATTAAAATGATTTGTTCATAATGCTACAATAAATAGTCAAATATTTTAAAATAATAAAAAGTTAAGTAAACTGTGAACCTGGTTACAAAATGCCTTGCGCTAATTTCTTGTAATACTAATGGCTTTGTTAAACTGATTTAAATATCATTTATTTATTTAACAGTATTTTCAGTGAAAAATGCGATTTTGTCGACAAATGTTTGCATTGATTGTCAAAAACTGATGGATGATTGTTGCGATGAATGCGTTAAACAAATGTCTTTTCGCCGACAGAAACACAATAAACTGAATGAAAAACACAAATGAATTGTCGTTTCAAATACCGATTGACACACAAAACGGAAATAACGAAAAACATTTTGTATCAATACTAATAATAATAATAATAATAATAAATAGACTATAAGTGTCAAGAAATACGCTGTTGATAACAATTTGGATTATTATAAATAATTTTTTATATAAAACCACAAAATGCTAATAAAATGTTTGCTATTTTTTCTTGTGATATAAGCAAGATTATTGAGAAAGTTATTTATAGTTTTGAATTTTTATTGTTCAAATTACTAATAGTAAATAAACAAATTCAATACAAATATATAAGTAGGTCTGCCACCCGTCCTCCTGTTGGTAGGGCTGCCAAACCTCCGGGAGTCTCCCGGAATAGAGATATATCTCCCGTCTCCCGGTTGAATGTCTACCTTGAGATTGATTTCTCCCGGGCAAAAATATGGACATTTATTCTTAAATTAAAGTTGTGATTTAATGAAAAAATATATAAAACATAGCATCTAAATGAAAATAAGGAATTATATAATTTTTGGATTATGAAACACTTGTGAGAACTACTATCATAATTAATGATGTAAAACAAACATTAATTAAATGTTAATAAATACTATAGTTCACAGTGTCCTTTTATAACTTTTATAGAATATAGAAAATACAGGAAATATAGAAAATATATTTTTAGAAATTTAATAAAAATTAAATTTATAAAAGTTATAAATTTAGGACACTATGAACTATAGTATTGTTCTAACATTTAATTAATGTTTGCTTTACATGATTAATTATGATAATTAGACTTTATTTTACTGCATTATAACTTACTAGTAATTTATGAGTTTCCTTGAATAATTTATAATACACTAAATTCTAATACATAAGTTTGGATATATTACATTGAAATTCTGTTCAAAGTCACTTTAATTGTCCAAAACAAATAACCTATGAAATATTTGGTGACTATATTAAAGCAAAATATAGGTTAAAAATATTTATAAAAATTAAATTTATAAAAGGACACTGTGAACTATAGTATTTTCTAACATTTAATTAATGTTTGTTTTACATCATTTATTATAATAGGAGTTCTCACAAGTGTTTCAAGAATAGTATATATACTGATGAAAATAGTCATATAATTATCACAAGATTTGTGAACATTGAAAGTCTATTCACAAGTAATTCAAACAACAAAAATGGAAAACATTTTGATTCTAGTGTTGAGTGTTTGCATTGGTTTGAGTTCGCAGTCCCTTTGGAAACCTAATAGACAACGGAGTGGAAATGGCCATGATTATTGCAAAAGTATATTACACATTAATTAACTATAATTAAGATATTAATTTGATCTATTATATTTTATTCGTTATCAGACTTATTTCCGCAGAACTACCCAAGGGACCTAGCTTCATCAACGTGTAAGCATTTAGATATATCACCATATTTACCATGATCCAAATCGTGTTAATTCAATATAATTGTAAACATAATATCCATTGCCTGGTAGTCTCGTCAGCCCTGGTAATCGACAACATGACTGATGTGGAGGACTATAAATGTGAATCCGGATCATATATAACGCAAATCACGTACAACGACACCATAACCAAACCATTTGCGTGCTATGCGTACGCGGGATTCACAAACAACGTTACGTTCAATGGCCATAAGGGGGACATATCGGTGCCGTTATGGTCGCCACAACATCAGGGAATTTATAGCACTAACGATGGTTTGAAGTTTTTAAATTATACTACTTGTTATTTTATTTTACAGCAAAATTTCTATATTCATATAAGAATCGTTAGATTATATACCAATTTTAAAAGTTATAAACTTTCACCATGTTCATCACTTTCAAATCCATATTATTTTATTAATTATATCGTATCATAATTATATAATTTTGTGGTCCTTTCCGTTTGTGGTTATACACTACGGATATAATCATTATATGAATAATCGTTTTAATGTTTAATTCAATGTTTATTTGCAATTAAAGGCAACTTTGAGTACATGGAGTGCGGAGTGCTATCTGGCGGCCCGTGCGATGGCGATGCCATTTGGGACACCGGCTTATGGATGGCCACCGACCAGAACGGGTGCGGCAGTAGTACCGGCCTTAAGGGTCTAAAGGGATTGTACGCAAGCTTTGAGATCGTGGGCAAATGTGCCTCCAAATGTACCATGGTCAGCGTGGACTTTACATTCAGTAAGCCCTTAACCAACAAAGGGCTGGCTATGTAATGGTTGTGACATTGCTATTATAATATTACACGATATGTATCGCATTAAAGTCTATCGTAGAGCTGCACTTGATTTAGAAATTATAATTTAAAATAAATATTCATTTAATAAAATTATGATTACAAAATTATTTTTACCCTTATGTAGGCAGTAAAAAAGTAGGTTATATAATAGTTGTATTTATTTATGATATTAAATATTTATCGTTAAAAAATTAATTTAATTTTAAAACGTTTATTTTATGGTATAATTATGAAGTAAACCTTTTTTTATAAAGTTGTTAAAAAGTTATAATTTTAATTAGAGAAATCATTATTTTACTTTATTTCTATATATTTAATATGATTATATTGTATTAAAAATAATTTTTAAAAATATACAACATTTTAATAACTCATATAAAATAAATCCTTATAAACATCATAAAAGTTATCAATTTGCTTATCACTGAAACCCAAATGTTTGCACTCATAGAGGGCTGACATCTCACTAATATATGGATAACTGGCCACTCGATTGCCACCAAAAGTCTCGGGAATCTTCTCGACATCGAAATATTGTACCAAATCTTCGCTTTTAATTATTTTCACTTTATTTCGATTACTTTTCGGACAAAAACTAATCATCACTTTAAGCATACTGCTAAATATCCAGGGTAAGTCTACTGCGAAACCCATACGCACAGTCGCAGGGTAGTGAGCCATTACTTTTGCCATAAAAATGGCCATGTTTAAATCAGCATTCGTCATACCCTTAATCATACACGTCATACACTTAACATGGCTACGCCTACCAAACCTTTATTGCCGGCCGCCCTGTCCTCCGTCTCCACGCAATAACACAGAAATTGTTTCATTAATGGAGAAAAGGCAGCGATTTTACGGTAGTGTCGGCCCACTGCCCACCGCACTCCCCGTCCCTTACTGTCTATGCTATAGTCGCCGAGAATTGAAGGAAACTCTTTGGGAAAGTATGAGTGACTCCTGTCGTGAATGCCGTACGACTTCTTCCACTGTAAGGCTTTGATGAGTGCTTCGTAGGCCTTATCGCAGGACTGGTAGTCTATGACAAACCTCTCGACCTGCCAGTCCTCGCACCTGACTCTCTCGACGTCTATGTCGTGATACAGGTGTGGATTAGTGTCGACTTCAGTCAAAA